AACCTATTTCTGGAAAATGGCTTGGATGGTCCTGTATTTTCGGAATATGGTGATAAACTGGTGGACATGGTGGCATGTTACATTCTTGTTCTTTGGAAGGTCGTCCTTCAGGATCACAGTAATTCTCGTTGATTTGTTGATGATAGTTGACACAGATAACTTGTCTTGTTATTATTCCACTATCACATGTAACTGTGCACTGACCAAAAATTAACCCAACATTTGTGACAGAACATTGATAGTTAATAACCAAAGACATTAATATTTACTTTTGACAATAAGAAATGTATACTTTGTTTTTTCAAGGGATGCAATTTCAATCACACTTGCACAGAATATGAACTCCCAATTTCTAACCAGAGACTTTGCCCAATAATCTAAATAGATACATTAAAAAAAAAAAATTACAATTAATACTTACAGGGGACCAATTTCCAACTTGCCACTCTCCACATGGGCTGAAGCAGCTTGAAATTTCAGCTGGTCTTGGTAAATGAGCACAGAAAGATTCATCTGCTATTCCTCCATGTGCATCTCTACAACTCACATAGCGAGCACGATCACCCTTCCCACAGGATGCAGAGCACTGTCAGAGAACAACCCAAGCTCACCGCACTTCAGAAGACCAAAAGAAGATGACGCAAGCATCTAAAATACTAACATAGCTTAGTATCAGCTTGACTTTAGAATTAAACACTGGGAATCAGATTTCCATCTTGCACCTGTAGAGCCATGCATTCATGAAGGAAAGTGAATATTGCTGGATGGTTTAGGCCTTAAGAATACCCATTGGATTGGAACTGAATTGCATGGTCTTAATTCTTGTGAAGCAATTCCTGTACCTGAACAGGTAGCATTTCAACTATAACATGGTTTCATTGTACCATTGCAAAGGTAATTTTTTTTTATTTATTATTTATTAACAATAGGAATATTAGAGAACAACTTCCAGAACATTTTTGTTATTACACAGTGATGCAATATTTACATCAACTGATACAATAAAAACTGATAGTCACAATCCATTTGTCATTCTGGCTTATATTAGCATATTCCAATTAGCCCCTTCTGATGCATTTTAGCCGAGATGTTCAAGGTGAATTTAGTGAAGAGTTTCTCAGTAGCCTCAGTCTATACACTCTTTACTTCTCTTTAGTTAAAATAATTGTGCAAAGATATAATTGTGGTATATGTTTGGTTAAGAACACCAAGGGATTAACAGACACATCCACCTTTTAATAGATAATTTTTAAATTTTCACATCGCTGTAAAGTAAAACTAATTTTCAACTACCAAAATCAAAACCTCTTCTATTAAACAGTTTGTGCAGAAATCATTTTTACAATGTTTATTTTACAAATTATGTAAAATTAGATCTTTAAATACTCAAACTGCTTAATATTGCTATTCACATATAAGTTTAAAATTTCATATTTTAGAATGAAAGGTGTTCTCCATACTCAGAAAATGATCAATTATTTTAAATAAACACTTTCTTGCACATTCGCAATCATATGAAAGCTATTTTGCTCAGAACCCCTGCTTCTAGAATCCTGTTTTTTTCCCCTCCTTATTTTCCCTAGCTAGATTTGAAGCATACAGAATTTGCTGGAAGCATCTATCTCCTCCTTAAGAAACAGGTTTTTAAAAAAAATATTAGAACTACTTCAAAAACTTATCCCAAGCAGATTTCAGACTGAAAAAATACATTAATGAGAGCTTTATGGAAAAACGGGTGACGGAATGGATGACTGCTCTGCAAAATGTGACCACCATTACATTACATACTGGGGTCCATGATCCATATCTCCACTGGGTCACCTTCCCCACATGAACTAGAGGAAGCGATGTAGTCCATAATTTTGTATTTTCTGGACAAGAAGGCAATTCACATTCCTGTGGAGGTGAGAAAAAAAAAAGCTTTCAAAATAAAAATTTTGGAAGAGCCAAATGTAAAGCAAATGGGTCCCACAAAGATAGATCCTACCATTACAATAAGCCAGCATTAATTAACAAGCAAATACCATCTTCCAACTTCTTCTTTTCATTATTCAAAGGCTTTTAATTGAATTGTTTTGTTTTGTTTCAAATCAAGAAGCAAAGATAATTTATTTGTTGTTAAAACTGTATTAGTAATAACTAATAATATTTGCACTTTGAGAAAGAACTGTGTTGGGCAACTTGCTGGAGACAAGGAACACAGACGCTACCGTGTCCTGTTTCATAGCCACATGCAGTACAGAAGACCTGAGTGAAGACAGTGGCTATGCTGTCCTGTCCTTCATGTCTTCAGCTACTGGGAACACAAAATTGCCCAGTTTCTGTCAACAGCCAAACAGGTACTACTATTCAAAATACAAAGCATACTCAAAACCCAGTGTTTTCACATGTAAGTGGAAATAAATTTATACCAATTACTTTGCTTTTGTATTTTGAAATCTTATTCTAGAAGTCATCAGAGGGGTGGTAACTTGTGACTGGTTTACTCTGGACCATAGAATTCATTTTTTCCCTCTTCTCCTTGAGACAAGAAGCAGAGTATGCACTCAAAGAGGTATGTGATTACCAGCTTAGCTGGATATAAATGACATGTATCAATCTGGTGGCGAGATCAACACATTAATACACAGCAACTAAGACACCAATTGCTCTTAGTCAAAGGTAAACCCACTGATTGTATTAAAAATGTTTCTTCTGAAAAAATATAGATTTAAATTAAGGGAGGTGATGAAGTAAGTAAACTGAGACAAGAAGAAAAGGTAAAGAGCCACATTAATACCATACTGAATCATAACTCATGTCCACACACTTTTCAATTAGTATTATTCCAAAAACTGAAGCTTTCTTCAAGTAACCATGTAATTCTTTTAAGAAGTATATACAAGCAGAATTTTAAAGATACCAAGCCAGTTAGGTGCTATTATTAAGCATCATGGCAAGCAGTCTCCTTATATTTTACATGTTGGAGCTTTTCCCCCACCCCGAAATAATCAAAGGCCTTTGTACTCCTTCAATCATATACCAGATTTTCAAATCTCCCATATCCAAATTACTTAATTCCCTAGGCCAAATTTGAAGTTCAGAAAAAAAAAGCAGATAGTTTCAGTATTTTTTTCTCATTTCAGAACTAATTTCCTGCAAGTTCCTTCAAAGAGTCTGTGGACAACACTTGTATTTAGCTGCCTTCAACTGAAAAGTAGTACATTCAAATGAAAGGTATTTTTTAACTTACTTGGTTATCTCTAGGACGAGTAGCAGCATTACATTCACTTTCATCGTCCAGAATAATTCTGTAAGTCCCAGTAACACATTTGACTGCACGCATCTGGTATCCACGTCCACATGTTACAGAACACTGTTGAAGTCAATAACTTCACACATTTGAAATAGCACCATTATAACAAATCTCTGTTTTAAAACTCTTTCTGGAATGAATACAAATGACTACTGGGATGGTGTTAACTTTCTTCACAGCAGACCATATCATGCTTAAACAGTGTCCCTAACACATCTTTCTTTTGGCTATTGCTGAACAGTGCTTGTGCAGGATAAAGGCTCTCTCTTTTTCCCCCTTCTGCCCCCTGAAGTTAGTAGACTGGAGGTGGGCAGAAGACTGGGAGGGAACACAGCCAGGACAGCTGACCTGAACTGATCAAAGGGAAAATCCACGCTACGTAATGTCATGCTCAGCAATAAAAACTGGGGTAGAGGAAGTGGGGGAGGAGGGAGTAAGGGGTGGCTTCCAAAGAAATCACTGCAGCTGTTAAATGTCTTTTTGAAGAGCATACTCAAAGAAGGCACCTAAAATGCTAGATGGCTGAAAATACTATAACATAAATCCCATTCTATAAATGTTGCGGTTCAAGCACAACTACTGGTAAAAACCCAGTTCGTGAATAGCTATTAGCAGATGGTACAGTGGAAAAACTGCAATGGAAAGCTCTGCTCCAGTGACACAGATTTGGTAAATTGCTTGTACAAGCTATTCCAGCAAGGCCATACACACTGATTTTTTTATTCAGAAGAATTACATCATGGGACTGAAATATTTTTTTATTTCATTTTTGCACTTAGCTTGTAGGAATGGAAAGCCAGTGTCTTGTGATCAAAAGATTACTCAAAAAGAATTCAACATTATGTTAGACAACAGTGTGGTTATCTCTAATGTGAAAAAAAATATTACATGAGAAAAATTATACTAAAGAAATGTTTAAGTTAAAAATATACTTAATTTCCAAAGGTATATTTAGTCTGTATTTTACTAACAGGTTATATGTAAAAAAATAAATATCAGTTGCTCTTCAGTTATGAATTCTTCCTAACATCCACGAAACCCTGAATAACACCTCTGTTGGTTTGAGTAACCCGATCTTAGGAAAGCTCCATGAATCGTATTATTTTTTAATTAATTCTCATCTATTTGGTGACAAAAGTTTCCTTCACAAATTAATTCACTTTTTTCCAGAATTTTGAAGCCACTCTGGTGTATATTAGATGAGCAACATTACACACAGGAACACACTTTTCAACAGCACTTTCACATAAAGATATATCAGATCTTTAATCTTTGAAGGTCGAAACAAAACATAACAACAAAATACTAAGTATTTTTGCCTGCTATTATCAGGATATACACTTCTATGATCTTAAAGCTACCACTTAAATATGCTCACACACCTATAAAGATTTGGTCTTTCACATGTCTTATTCATCTGAAAGGTTTGGTATCTACATTTTCATCATTCTGGAGATGTAATACATTCATGTGTAAAAGCATCTTTGATATTAAGGCTCAGGGTCAATGACTATTTTAGGCACTTAATTTATATGTGGGTGTTCCTAAATTACAGGATAGATAGCCAATAGGAACAAACATGTGAATCAGTTCAACTAAAGTAAGTGCTTAAGACCCAATTAAAATGTTTAAAAGGTATTGTTTTGTGATCACTCACAGTCTGAACTAGAAAACAAGAAGCCAGGAATCCTTATGTACTTACTGATCCCCAAGGCCCTACTTGCCAAGATGCACATTCATGAAGTTCGCATGATATTATTGATTCTGGTCTATCATTTGGGTTACAGAAATCATCTCTCAGTTGTTCATCATTAAGTTGGCACCATACTTGACGATGCTTCATTCCTTTGCCACATGTCACAGGACACTGTAAAATTATTAATGAGTCATCAGTTTGTAAAGACATGAATCTGCATTAATGGCTTCACTTTCTTTTAGTAATCCATTGGATTTTATAGATCACAAAAGTAACAAAAATATTCCATGAATGTAAGTAGTCCAACAAAACTAGTTATTTTATTAACTCTCTGTTTCCTGTAAATATCAACCCAAATGCTAATACAAAGGAACCACTATTAAGTTTCTAAAGCCACAAAAATATGAGAGCAATGTACAGATCATTTATTTCCATTAGATTAAAGAATACTTGTTTAAAATATGAGTGAACATATCAAAGCTTTCACAAGAAAAATGTTTAAACTATCCATGATTCTTTTATACCCATATAATCTATGATAAAATGGATATAATTCTGTTCTTTAGTTGGCTGAATAGTTCTCATTGCTTCATAAAAAAGGAAGGTATGCATATTACTGCAGATAGATTTACTTTAAGTAGCTTCACTACCTCATTTTAATGTAATAAAATTTCAGAGAAAAATAAATTCTAGGTGTGTTTTTCAAAAGTTCTCATGCCATTTGTAAATCTGGGATGTATATGAGCTAAACCCTAGGACTTCAAAAGTTTCTGTGCCCCGAAATAGCCAGAACAAAAAACCAAACACTTAAACCAGCTTATTTTAATATTGATGACCAGGACCAAGTTTTACATGGTTCATTACCTCACTCCACTCACTAACAGACCAGCTTGGACATAAGAATTCATTGCAACTCTGTGTTACAACTCTTGGAAGTTCCTGGCATTCTCCCTCAGGAAGATGACGTCCCAAACTGTTCATACAAAAAGCTTCTCTGGTTCTGACACCTCTTTCACAGCTCCTGGAACACTGCAGTGTATGGGCAATATTATGAAACAGGAAATACAACATGATAAAACCAGGTCAAAATACATTATCAGTCTTAAGGGTGAAAAACATTAATGATTGTGTTAGACAAATGTATCCAACATTTAAGCCACAGACTGCTAATATGTTCACATGAGATAAATTTGGCACTTTGTTTAGTAGCTCCAAGATAAAACTCTTTAAGGAATACTAAAGCTGAAATCGAACTTATTTTCTCCAAAATACTCTCAGAACTAAATTAAGACTGTAAATAAAATATACACATTTAACAACCAGATCTTATCTGATGACTTCCAAAACCAAGCTGCAAACAATTTAGCAACAGTTTCCTACAAAAAATATGAGGAAGTTGCTGAAATATTAGTATTAGCTCCTCCTACAACTCTCTATTTGTCAAGCATTATTTTCTTTTAGTTACTTCAACTAAAAAAAAAAAATTATATAGATATAAAAATTTGATATGAACACTAACCAGAACTATCAACCATCATATCTAAGAAGTTGTGGCAGTCTGGTAAAGATCTCACTGACTGGAATGGGGGAAACATAACCCCCATTTTTAAAAGGGAAATAAGGAAGACCTGGGGAACTACAGGCCCATCAGTCTCACCTCTGTGCCTGGCAAGATCATGGAGCAGATACTCCTGGAGATTCTGCTGAAGCACATGGAAAATAAGGAAGCGATTGGTGACACCCAACACGGCTTCATTAAGGGCAAATCGTGCCTGACAAACTTGGTTGCTTTCCATGATGGGGTTACAGCATCGGTGGATAAGGGAAGAGCAACTGATGTCATCTACCTGGACTTGAGCAGCAACATCTTTGTTGGAGACATGGACAGTGGGATCGAGTGCACCCTCAGCAAGCTTGCTGATGACACCAAGCTGTGTGGTGCAGTCAACACACTGGAGGGAAGGGATGCCATCCAAAGGGACCTGGACAGGACAGGCTGGAGAGGTGGGCCTGTGTAAACCTCATGAAATTCAACAAGGCCAAGTGCAAGGTCCTGCACATGGGGCAGGGCAATCCCAAGCACAAATACAGGCTGGGTGGAGAATGGATTGAAAGCAGCCTTGAGGAGAAGGACTTGGGGGTGTTGGTGAATTAGAAGCTTAACGTGATCTGGCCATGTGCATCTGCAGCCCAGAAAGCCAAGCATGTCCTGGGCTGCATCAAAAAAAGTGTGACCAGCAGGTCAAGGGAGGTGATTCTCCCCCTCTACTCCGCTTTTGTGAGACAGCACCTGGAGTACTGCATCCAGCTCAGGAGTTCTCAGCACAGGAAAGACATGGACCCATTGGAGCAGGTCCAGAGGAGGGTTACGAAGATGATCAGAGGGCTGGAGCACCTCCCATACGAGGACAGGCTGAAAGAGTTGGGGTTGTTTAGCCTAGAGATGGGAAGGTTCTGAGGAGACCTTATAGCAGCCTTCCAGTACTTCAAGGGGGCCTACAGGAGAGATGGGGAGACACTCTTTATCTGGGGGTGCTGTGACAGGAAGAGGGGTAACAGGTCTAAACTGAGAGAGGGTAGATTGAGATTAGGTATTAGAAAGAAATTTTTTCCTGTGAGGGTGGTGAGACACTGGAACAGGTTGCCCAGAGAAGTTGTGGATGCCCCATCCCTGGAGGTGTTCAAGGCCAGGCTGGATGAGGCTTTGAGCAACCTGGTCTAGTGGAAGGTGTCCCTGCCCATGGCAGGGGGGGTTGGAACTAGATGATCTCTAAGCTCCCTTCCAACTAAATAATTCTATGATATGATTCTATAACATTATGATTATAATGTTTTGAATTTGTACCTCTGACCATTCTGTGTAATGCCAACTTGTTAACATACAGTCACCATGGCAAGGCTCTCTGGTCGGTGGTTTCTGCTGATCAGCACAGTACTTATCATCCACTGGAGCACTGAGTCCTTTTGAAATAGAGTACCTCATGCAGTGGATCTCTATAGAACGATACCCTGGGCCACACTTTGATGTGCAGTCACTTTTGCCAACATTGTGCCACCTACAAGGATAAACTGTTATAGAAAGCTAAATATGTTTTAAAAAATAAGACCACGGTGAATAAAGCACTCAGAGAATGTACCAGGAATTGTCATGCAAATATAGATATGCATTTTAGGGAACAGATAAAACTGTAAAATGTATCTCATCACTGGTATTTTCAAAGCAATATAAAACAATTTGACTCACAGGCTTAGGTTACTTTGAAAAATGTAAGCTACAGTTCTAACTCTTCATCCTCTGAATGCTACAGCATGGGTTTCCTTGGAGAAGAAAAATACAGGTCTGTTTCAAATTAGTTCTAGTTGTGGGTACAATTCTGTTAAAAAATGTATTCTGCCCATTGATACAAGTTTTTGTGCCAGGATATATAGAACAGATTCACAATCCTAACAAAAGACTTTCTACTTTACCAATAAAAATTAGGAAAGTACACTAGTCCTACTTAGATTCAGAGGTGTAAACATAATCTATAAACTCATTACGTCAACAGATTTGAGGAAAGGAGGAAGAAACAGGAAGGATGATTATAGAGGGTTGGAGGGACAGAGGATAAAGCAATATGAATTACTTAGTTTCAGAAATGTCTATCAACAAAAATACTTAAGACCATAATAACCTCCTCAGTTAGGAACCTCTTTTTACCTTAATTCACACTCTGTATTACACTCCTCAAAGACATCTGGTACAGCAGGTATAAGTTCACATCTTTGATCAGACACTACCACATGATCACTTTTACGTATGCATGTCAGCCTTCTTCTTCGAATACCTTGAAAAGGAATCAGAAAAAGCAAATAAAGGGCTAAAATAAGAGTGCCTTTTTACACCAATGGATTCCATTCATCATTTAGGAATTTAACTGAGATACCCCATTAACACTAATCATTGTATACAGCAGATTCTGCACAAACATGCTGCTTTGTGCAGCAGACTACATTCTAGGTAGAGAAAAAGATCATCCCAGTTCCCCCTGCCATCTCCCAGCTGTACTACAGTGGTCTCACATGGATATCAACTTACAGAAAACTGCAGAAGTGCAACAGTCCATTTACTCATCAGGCTAAGTATTCCAAATGCATCATGTCTGTCCTTTGCTAAGCACCAAATTTTCAAACCACCATGTTAACTTAGAGGTTGTGAACATTTTCTTTTAAGGAAGCAGAAGATCTGATCACAGGGTACCTAAAAGATCTGGACTGCTGGGACAAGTACCACAGTTGGAAGATGCTCTGCTTCTCTAGCACATGAACATGTCTACAGCCGGACTCAAAACCAGAAAAACTCAACACCATGTATCTACAGGCATTTCTAGCACCTGCTAACAGGAGTATCTATCAAAAACTTGTGTATGTACACTTCACATATACACTTTATATGTATTGTGGTTTTAGTTTTACACTGGAATGGCCTATGGAATAACAGTTTTAAAGTTGTAAAATATATCTTTAAATAGTTTCACCCCATGTAGCAGATAACCAAAAAAAGCCAAATAAATATAGATGAAAGATACTAAACAAATCAGTGACCATCTGGAAATAGGATAAGGAAAGCCTAATACATATCTCTAGGTATAAAATACGGCTTTCTAAGGATGCATTAGACTTGATTCAGCTTTTTTTTTTTTATAAACTCACCTATGGCTACAAAAGAAAGGAACGTAAATTTATTTTTTAATATAGAACTGCATTGCGTAAATATGGAAAATAGCAAAACAAAATCAGAAGCCATTCTGCCCTTAAAGGCTCTGTGCATCTAAAGAGAGTAATGAGTTTCTTTCTTACAAATAGAGGTGAAAAATCTGAGTTCTTAAGACTAGTCCCTTCCTAAATGCCACCAGGTCTTTTGGACAAAAGAATTCACAGTACCTTGGCACATCCTGCTGCAGTCTTGCCAGGGTCCATAAGGATCCCATGCATACAGATCACTTCCATCTTCTATTGGGACATTGAATGAATAACGCACATCAGGGTTGTATAAATTTTTAACCTTAATTGAGATAAAATGATAGCTGTTTTTCAGTGAATTTGAACATAAAATTATGAACATAATGATCATGAAGCAAATTTTCAAACTTATGAAAAAAGTAAACATGCACCTGTAAGGTTAGCTCTTCTTCGATTTTATCAGTGCTGTTAATTCGTTCTATCGTACTGTTTGAACCACTGTACTCAAAAATGGCTCCTTGTATATTGATTTCTCTTTTTGACATGCTTACAACAAAATTTCCATTCAAGATAAAATTTCCATGAATATCAGATAAAGCTATAAGTAAAATAAAATATTGGAAATAAAGCATCTATTTAAAAGGTTCTATCAATAAAAACTTTTAATAATATAACTTCTCATCAACACTTAGCTTTATTTTAGTCCCTGTGTTATAATTTGAAGTTGTATCAAACAGTTTCTAATGCATGAGTTCAATGCTAACCATCAGTACCTTTCACCTGAGCAGTTGTCATGGATTTTCTCTGCATTAATAACACAACTTTAATAATCTCTGTTCTGCTGAAGGGTTGACTGCAGTAATTACTTTTAAATTTGCTTAGGATCTTCTACGGTAGAAGGAAACAATAATTATCTGTATTTCTGGCCTATTCCACAACCCACATTCTTATATTTGCTAGAGCTACTTTTAGCGAAGTGGCTTTTAAAAGTAAATTTTAAAGTAAAAATAAATTATTAAGCATTTATAATAATAATTTAATATAATGTCCAATTTACAATAATAAAGATTAATAACAAATTAAAAATTAAATTTAAAAACAAAGTAAAATTTTTAGTAAAGGCATGCCATTCAGGCATTACTACATTTAAAATGGTAGCTAGTGTCAGGGGGTGAGTGTTGTTTCTGTCTCCTGGGAAATGCATATGCAATAACAGGGCAACAGGTGGCAATGAAAATATTTTGAAAACTGTGAAGTTTGTTGAGTAGGATGGTAGTGGAAGAAGAGACAGAAGGAAAATATGCACCAATATTCTGTACTGTGAAATAGAACCAAGATTTTTGGTACAATGTGCTTATGAATTCTTAGTTCCTCTCACACACTTGCAAATCTATCGACATGTGATCTTTACATTCAGACATGACAGAAAAAGAGAAATGTGAGACAACTGATAAGTTTGCTGAAGGTCAAACTGCTTGGTGTATACAGAGTATGTTTTCAAGATTTAAAACCACAAGTAATTTCACTACTCCTGAGTTCATTCACGGAGTTTTAATTAACATCGCCACAGTAAAGTAAAAAATTGACAAAATGATGCAATGTGCCATAATTCCTATTCTCTGACAAATAAACATACATTTAAGAATTAGAAATTTAACACCATCTCACCCATTTTTCTGAAACTAATAGCTACAGACAGACTCAGGCAAATTATGATACAGTGTAATTAGATATTTGCTCTAAAGACTTTGTATCAGACTTCAGATAATTTAGGTCTAGAGCAGACCTCTGTCATGACAGAGAGCACAAAAAATATCCATCAATGTTATACACAAGAGCTTTTTACCAAGGTAGTTGTCATCTTCTGGTTTCCCTGAGTAGCTGTGCTGACGAATATCAATGTTTGTTGCTCCTTTGGGAATATTTACTACAACATTGTAACCTGTAATGTAATTATTCACAAATTAATTATATACAAAAATAGTCAAATACTAGTAAATATGAACATATGTTTAACTAGTTTCAGCAACAAAATGCTACAGGACACCAGTGACAACCACTGCTGAATGCCCTCACATTTTAGGAAGGAAATTTGAATATCTTCATGCACATTAAGTTTCTTTGTTGTTGGTTTATGGTTTTTGTTAGGTTGGGTTGTTTTTTTTTTTTATTCAGTTGAACCAAACTTTTATTTTCATAACTCATTACAATTCATTCCTGTGTTCAGAAATGTGAATTTGATTCTTTAGCAGTAACAGGAGTTCAACCTGCTCAGAAAAATCTCTAGAGAGCAGCACTACTCTAGAAAGCAGTCAAGTATATCAAGTGGGATTCAGGAAACATTGTGGCTCCTCACAATTTAACCACAAAACATCTATACAAGTCTGAATAAGTCACTTAATATGAAACATCTCCACTCCCTGCTTATACAAGGGGGTTTACTTTTCTCTCTCATAACAGTATGGCATGACAGCACTCTAAAGAACAAGTCCTAAATACTCAAATATTGCAGTGTTATAGGCCATACACATAGTTAGATAGATAAAGTAGCCATGCTTGACCCACATTCTGCTACTGAAAATGTTACCCTAGTGTGCTCTCTTCAAGATACAAATGCTTCACAAATGAGTCTTTTCCTGTAATACCTCCAACTACTATTATGGTAGCCTTGTCCTACGGTAACAACATAAGGTGCATCAAGATCTACCTGTTAGAACTGTCGCTCTGCACATAAGCATAGATTAAAAAAAAAATACATTTCCATTTCTCACAGATGCTAATCACAAACTCAAAAGGATTCTTATGTCTGAGAAAAACCAAGTATTTCAAACGTCGCAAACAAATAATAAACACAAACATACAATCAGAAGCACTAATATAATCTTTGTTAACTTTTACACTAACTTATTTTGCTGCGTTTAACAGTCTTGCCGTGATTTAACTTTAGTCAGTTGACTCATCTCTGTGGGTAAAAATTTAAATGGCAATATCCTTTTCAATTTCATAATTCATTAACTTCTCAGTGCTTTTAATCTACTAAAACGATGCCATGCATTTAAATGAACAGTTGATCTAATCACAGGTCTATCGCATTTACCAGCTGGGGGCAGCACTGCAATTGCAATTTGACATGCTGCGTGCTCTGCATAAATACACTGTTGGGTCAGTCTTCCAACATATTGGCAAGAAAACCAAAACACACTCAAAAAAGTCCCTCATCTCACACCCTGAAGACCTTGTGGTAATGGAATAACAGAAGACAAAATATGGGAGGAAATTATAAACACAACTGCATAGCATGTTGTCAAGGATACACAGAAGAGATCATATACCAAGGCACCAAGAACGACCATTTTCCATGAAATCCTCAGATATTCTAATCTGATGCAATAATAATAGCTAAGATAATAATTATGTGTACATAATTAGATTACCTAATTGGGAGCTATGTAAATTAGTATTTCATTGTAATGAATTTCTGATGATTGTTTCACTACTGTTTAAACACTTAATGACAACATTATAACAGAATGAATGTCTGTCAGCATGTACCACGGGCTGCTATTGTTTCATTCCAAATTCTGCCCTAGTAAAATGACTTGTGTCAGTACAGAAGGGGACTAGGTGAAGTAAAAAGATCAAGTGCACAGACTTTGGCATACTTATCTTATGATCCTAACTCAGAATTTTTTTGGAAAATAACATTTCCTCAGACAATGTTTTCAGTCATTAGCCTAGGGATGTCATAGGCCTCCTATGGACAGTGACATTTTAGTGATCAGCTAGCTACAACCTCTTGTTTGCATTGCTGCACTCCTACTAGAGCACACCTGAGAGATAATCCCAAATGTTTAGCATACTGTCTAGTAGTATACTTCGGTATCATCTTTATCGAACATAATTTAAAGCATTCAATTAAATATAAAGCCAAAATAATAAATCAAGGTTTTCGTCATCCCAAAATGTGGATTTTTTTTTTCCCCTCTAACCTCAGTTAGAAGCAAGTAAGTCTGTGACAACACAAAGATGATAAACAGCAGAGAGTGATATTTGTATAAACGGTAGTTTCAGTGTAGCAGTCACTTGTATCAAATATATTTGTGACAGAATTGATGTGCTACCTGTAAGGAAAAAGATCTTTCACACTGGTGGAAAACAAAAACACTGGTAATCCTTCACTCAGAATTATCAGAGTAATACACTCTTCTCCTTCAGTGCTTTGAACACATGTTGAGAAATCCAGTCTCTAATAGATGATTGTGTCTTCTTCCAACTTCTCAGGACAGACACAAGAAAAGTTACGTGTATTTGTATGGCAAAGGTAGCTGTATCCCACCTTTAAGTTTTTTGGTACTTCCTGCTTGGCGTTAGCCCTCTGCCAGGAAAAAAAAATAAATCCAACAGCATACTGGGCATACTTCCCTCTTCGACCAGCAATTCCTTTGTTCTATGAAGATCCTATTTGGCAGTGCCATGAAGGAGCCTTTAGGAATCTGATATTGACCTGGAGACTTCTGTCCTTATGTTCTACACTCTAACTACTTAACTGCACTGCTACACATGTACAATAGTCTCTCCATATTTGCCAGAAAGGACAGCGTAGAAGAACTATCAGTAGCTCTATTAGAGAAAATAAATCAAAGAAATAGAAATTACCAGGGCTATTCAGAAGTTTCTCATTCACTACATGCCAATGAAGAGGAAAGAACATAAAGGTTGCTGCCCATGTTCTCTGGAAAGAGAAGGCTCACATTTCACAGGCTTTTTCACTATATGAAAAAAGAAACCTTGTCAGCTGCTCACATCACAGATTTCTTGCTATCTCTTTACACAACCAAAAGGAGACATTGGAATAAGTCCTTCAGCTGCATAGTTTCACAGAAGAGAATGCAAAGTGCAAAGCACGAAGCATTCTTCCTTTTAAAATACTTGTACCCTCATCATGTCTTTTATTTGTCTCTTTAGTTTTGACCTTAGAGCAGATTGAATGGGTTAGTGTGTCACAGTGTTTGCCTCTGCACCCTTAAGAGGGCACATGTGACTGAAAATCAGATATCTTTTGTTGACAGAGGCCCTAAAGAACATACACAAATCCCACTTCCTCAAATGTAAAACACAATTTCTAAGCCATACCAAAATGTGCATTAAGGTTTTAAAAAAACCAAACATACCATAATGAGCACTGTTGAAAGTACCTGCAAGAGTCTTACACGAAGAATTATCACCACCACAGATTCCACATTTGTCTCTCCTTGCCTTGGAATTCAAAACGTGATCACAGCCTGCTTGCTACAAAAAAATAAATAGCCCTGTGTCATTCAGCCCAATGGAAAACAATAGAAACAAACAATGTAAGCTTCTCACTCCCCAAAAATTCTTATTCACTGTATATATCTGGTCTTCCTTGGCAATTAATGAAAAGCCTTTTATGATTTTGGGTGCTGTGATGTCAGGGCAAAACACAACAGTGCTGTTGTACTAAGAACGTACAATCCTAAAAGCAGTATGTATGTGTACATGGTCATCAATTCTGCCAAAGTCTGTCATTACTGCAAAAGAAGCAAAGGAATACGTGTAGACTATGCTGGTTAAACTAGCATAAGCACAATTTTTGTTTATATATCTTTACTTAAACTTCCTTTTCTTAAAAAATTATGATAGACAGGAAAATTCTCTGACATTTCCTCTTTCCTCTTGATTCAACACTACAGAAAAGACTACATTTTCTCCTCATCCTGAATTTACTTAGTTTCACTGCAATCAGAAAAATAACCTGGCCTTAATAAAAAAGTCTTGAGTTGTGATATCACCTTGCTTCTCCCAACAAAATGTGGCACTTCCAGAATTTCTACTAAGCAAAGAAAGCTGAAATGATCCCTTTCAAGGGTCAGTTCCTCACCATTTTTCAATGAAATAATAAATACATAGTCTACCCTTGGAATTTCTACTTTTTTACTACTTTTATAGCAGGAATACGATGACAATAAACACACAGCATGCTTCTTTCCTCCCTTTATGCTGATTTTGGAACAGTTTCTCTCTCTGCTCACTTGGACAATACGAAGTCTCTCAGATATGATGCTTAATGAGGAAAGATTGTGGGCCTTCAAATTCAGCTGTATGTTCTTAATTGCCTCCATTTCCATTTAACTTCATAGGGATTAAAATTAAGTAAATTCAAAACATTTTGCTTTACATATTTTCAGTAATGCTTACTTGGATGAATATTTAATATCTACTTCACCACCTGTTAAAATTGATTTTAGTAATTAGTAAGTTTAGATTTAAATACCCTGCATAAGCCTTGAACACAAAGGTCATTGGTTTCTGCTCCACAGGGAGTACCATCAGCAACTCTGTCCTTCAGCTGATAGTAGGAAGTTGTTCCAGAAACGCGGCAAAAAAGTTTACAGCGATCTTTCACAGAAACTGGAAAGAAAATCCAACAGGTTTCTTGTCTGTTTTAAAACTTCAATTAAAGTAACATTTTTATTTCATTACTTGAAAAAATTTGTAATTACTTACTACCACTGTATTTCGGAATCCAGCGAACAGCAGACGTAAGACCATTGATATTGAAGTGTTTGCCATCAAATTCAGAGCACTGTTGCTCCCGGAAATCTTTTTTGCCTTTTGGACATGAATCAGTATTACATGATCGAAATTTCATCCTGCGGCCAACACAGTACTTTCCTCCATTTCTTGGTCTAACAAAAATAGGTAAAAGTAAGTAAATATAAAACATATACTATATATAAAACACAGGCTGGATAGGGCTTTCAGCAACCTGGTCTAGTGGAGGGTGTCCCTACCCATAGCAGGGGGGTTGGAACTTGATGATCTTTAAGGTCCCTTCCAACCCAAACCATTCTATGATTCTATGATTCAATACTCAGCTTCTAAAATTGCAGTTTTCCATGAAAAGTGGCTTGAGCCACTGATCTAAAGGGTAAAATCTCACATGGCATTCTGCAGTCTGTTACTGACTTTCCCCCACACACTCTTATCTTCTGTTGTACTGTGCATACATTTATACTCAAATGAAGAAAATAAAAAGTCCATGTAAAATACTACTGCTGAGGTGGTAATCAAGCTACTGACGTTCATTATGTCTATTACACTTTTATTTCTCTTACCGTTGTAATTATTTTGCCTGGGAAAAAACATTATTAACTTTAATGCTTTTTTCAATTTAGTTGAGATTACAGACATATTTTTACAGAAGCAGCACCTCCCTCTGTAATTTGAAATTATTATTTTACAGTGTGGCAAAGAAAGAACACAGAGTTAGGAGATGACACGCTCTTTTCTGTAGTCCTGATATTGGTTTCAGTTTGGGGATCAAAAGAACTAAAAAGGGAAAATTGTGGAAAATACTCCATTTACTGTAAATTCTAAAATATATTTCCTAAGTGTTGTAAACCCTGCTACACAATAATTCAGTATTAGTAGGTTCTTGGGGAGGAAAAAAAGAACAAATCAGTGGCATACTGATACTATCAGTTACTACAGACTGACAGAGGCATATTAATGGGAATCTAGTCTACCACCTCTTATTCAGAAAATAAAATAACCCAGGGTCATTTGACTAAGGTTCATTTATCCCTCTGATAATATCAAGATGAAATTACTTCCTAGAAAAACCCTGAAACTACTCGGGCTGCAGTTATGGTTCTGCTTCTGGAGAAGTTAAAGTTAAAGTTCTCATTGACATTTATTACAGAGAATGAAACACACATTGAATTATTCAGTCAACGGAAGTTTCTCAATAAAAAGGTAAGTTGTAAATTACTCTACTGTAACCAGTGTTCGTTGTGGGCGTTACTGGTAGTGATGTGAAAAAGCCGTAAATCACACTAAACCAAGTGTTTCACTAAAAAGATTACCAGGGAATACATTTATTTTTACAGTTTTTATGCCAACGATAGCACCCTCATGTTTAAAGAAAGCCTCAGTGTTTAAAGTTAGAAAAAAAATTTACAACCTAAATAAGTCTTTAGATATATCTGTAAATATGAATTATATACTTGAGAGACAAGGATAATCTAGAAGTTCTCTGCATGTTAGAGTCTGTAGACCTATCTTTCCTTTCAAACATGGCTGAAACAAGCTTTTTTTTTTTTTTTAACTGATGCTTCAAGCTAATTTGTGCAACCCACAATACCTTCATTTTGTTTTGAACCAATTCATTATATCGTAATATCTTCACTATGCACTAATGCAAAACACAATCAAAAACATACTCTGGTTTATTACACAGCCTGGTGGTGCTCTTGATTCCACCTCCACAAGTTCTTGAACATGAGCTATAAGGTCCCCATGGTCCCCATTCTCCATTTACAGGACGCATCTCCATTTCTCTGCTCACACAAATTCCGTGGCGGCAGTGCTGCACAGTTGACAAAATAAAATTTATAAGTCAAGCAAAAGGTTATTGTGTACTTCAGGCACAGAAAGAACAAAATTTAAGAGCTCACTGCTCTTAATCTGGGTCTGGATGTTCTCTAAAATGTTCAAATTCCTTTAAGATATCTTACCCACTAAATATTTTTTTTAAAATGCTGTCTAGAGTTCTTTGCTGTCTATGAAAGCTACTGGATGCTGAATATATCTTTAGGTCTTATCACTTTATTCAAATGCCTATATAAGAATCTCAAAATCCTGATATGTTTTCATGCACAAACTTCAAAAATAGATTTACAGTTGTCTTGTACATATGTACATATGTCCCAGTTTAATTTGGCAATTCATGCTGATACAAAAAGCGAAAAGGTATGATACAAACCACCAAGAAACTCAGGGTATTTTGAGCATCCTGGAAGCTAAAAAAGCTAGTGGGATTGTTTGGGAAAAGCACACAAATTTTCAAGCATTTAAGACCTCGCTTATGCTGAAGCAAGATGATGCTATAGATTCATGCTTAAACTCAGACTCTCACACCTATAACAATAGGTGTAAAATATTGTATATTTAATTTATTTACACTTTACAATAATTTTATATTTGCTACTAATTTAAAAAAATTACCATTACCATTAAATCTGAATTAATATTTAAATAAATAAAATTTTGGAGCTACTACAAGATACTACATTGCAATGTCTATTGTGCTACTTCAGACTTTATTCCTGCTTCAGAACTAACAATTTTCAACTAAAAACTTACATAAAGGTGCAATTTTAATTTCATCTGCTGGGACTTACACTATTCAGACAACAAAGATTGCAAGACTGCTCTGTTGTGGTCATGTCAGTTATGAAACTTCACTACTCAATATCTGTAAACTTATTATTTATAGAAAGTTATAATTACTAGCTATTTTTTTCAGAAGAATCAAGTGATCAGTCTCTTGCTTTTAAGTATTTACTATGTAAGTCCCTGACTCTGCAAATATTTATCCACTTCAGTGGTTACTTAAAAAGTACATGACTAAAAACTCTAAATGAGAATCTTATGATTGGTGCATGTGTGACTTTTTCCAAAGAACCTGTAGGAATTACCAGCACTAATCCTACTGATGACTTATGGCAGCTGGAATTCCAATTCATTTGTATGCTTTATAAAATCCCAAGCACTATAGTTGAACACAAAATAGTGGAATATTTTATATGCTAAAATGGAATATTTACAAGATACTATAATGTCAGCACTATGTCTCCTGCTGACTTCTGTGTGGATAACATATCCACAACTTTGTCCTTGACTCCAAACACCCTCTGAAGCATCAAAGACTGCCCACATCTGGAGACAAGACACTGGGCAGGATGAACTACATACGGTCAGTGCTCATACACAATAGAGAGAATTCTTTATTTTAGGTGTCTGATTGCAGACTCATGATTAGACCAATCATTAGTTTTGTTGTCAGGAGGGATTCTCCTAGTTGTGTTGACAGGGAGTGGAGTGGCTTATTCCATCCTTCCATGCAGTACACACATGGATCAGTCATTAGAATCATCAGAACAGATTATATCAACTCAACTGCTTGTTATTTCTGAAGCTTAGCCTTTGCCTCTCTACTCTCTGTGACACAAAACAGCTTTGAATTACCTTAAGTCTAGAAGGGTTTTGGTAACAAAAGTCTCTGGCACATAAAACAATTTAAGAACCTCTGATACATAGAAGATAAAATAATTCCAGGATTCCACCCCTTTTTAAAACTAATTTAAATGTTACATAGAATTTCTCAAGAGTTATGATGATGTTACAAATTTATTTCAGGAGCTACCAATTAACATAAATTTTGCTGAACACACAGAAATGTGTGCAATCTTTCTGAATATACCTGAATGACACAAAACCCAAATGTTGCTCAGGGGTTTTATCACTGCATAAAATAATTCCTAGAACCATTTTGTTTCCTAATTAGTATATGCTTTTATTCTATTCATACTTATGCCTATATGCAAACAATCATTTTGCTCTCAAAATAGGAATTTGTCACAGAATCAGATTCTCCTGAGTTCTGCCTGGTTTTCTAATCCAACTTGGCAAAAAAATTGACTGCATAATTCTTTATCACACCAACTTTTGGCACACAGCACTTATCTTTTAAGCCTCAATGCCCTTCTCTAGGAATATGACCATTGAAGGTGATTTTTAAGCCAACAGAAACACAGAAGAAAAGACAGATTTATCTCGTCATACAATCATTTAAGTGATCCAGCAATTCACCAGATCATCACTCACTTCATGCTAAGAATGCTTTAACTTAACACCAAAAAGACACCATTACTTCACTGTATATCTGCATATGATTTTCTCACTGCAGTGCTTACTGTTAGTTTTTATTCCTTTTTCCAAGATGTCCTTAAGGTACTTTTGTACCCAAACCCTCTAGTACCTAAAATCTAGTACCTAGCAATAAAAGATACGGCTGCACTATGGAAAAGTCTCATGCAAATATGAGGAAATATTAAGACCTTGCCTTTCCAAAAACTGTCATTAGCATCTTAGGAAATAATTTTTACTATCATAGGCTGAAGATTCTAAATCCCACTTCCCAAAATGAATACTGCATCCAAATATGGGACAGCAATCTAGAGTTTAGGTTATTCTTCCATCTACAAAAAACATTTACAATAACTTGAAGGGAGATTTCAGGAAAACACAGAGTTGTAAAATGAAATTTTATACCCAATAGCAGCATTATTTTGATCCATAAAAATGCAAAGCGCGTGTTCACATCTGGGATTTAATAACTTATTCAACAAACTTGTCTCAGCTATTCTCTGCTGCATTCCTACAGAAGCAACATGATGAAGTCACAGTAGAAAACTTCAGCACCAGACGCACTCTAGATGTTCCTCTGTGCTTGCTTGAATCATTGCTTCACTGAGAATATTATGATACACAGAACTTTCATAAACTTAAATGTAATTGCTTTTTTTCCTACATTTGTTATGGCAAATATAATGTATGCATCATGTAAAGTGGGTATCACTTGTAAATCCAAACATACTGATTACAGCAAGTGGCAACTCTGCTCTAGCCAAGGTCAATAGTTGATTTTTCTGTCAAAAAGGCAGAAATTCTGACCCAAATCCACATGGAATTATTATATCTTCAGAGATGAGAAGGGAGGGTTAATGGTTCAAATTTGCAATCAAAGTCCCTACAGGTACCCAGATTTGTATTTATTAATCACCTGCTTATAAGTAGTTTGACTCTTGCCTATGGATTAAACTATTATTTGATAAACTGATTTCAGGTACTTCCAACTTATCTCACAGATTACTGAAGCTGCTAAATTTCCAGGAGAGCAATCTTGAAATAAATCCTTAAAGCACTAATTGCCAGGCTGTGCTCATTTTCAACTGAATCAAGGAGAGTGATGCACGTAGAACAGGACTAGAGCTCTTCTGAAATCATGTATTTCATACACAGCCTAGTATGACCCATAGCAGGAAAAGGACTCCAAGTTTACTCTTACTGACAATATTTTCCAGGCTACTCCCAGACATACACATGGTTTTTGAAGATCTTGGGGCAAAGACTGGAACGCTGATGCTCAGTGTATGAGGACATAATTTCATGTATTAGAGCCCCATGTAGCCTTGCAGAAAAGGAGGTTCAGGAAAAATTATTCATCTATTTCCAAACACCAAAATATTTCAATAGATATTGCTGGCAGCTTCTGGTGCTTCTGAAAGGAGGGACGATGATTGAACACTGAAGACAAGTATGAGGGGAAAATTAAAAGGACAACGCATTGCATAAGTGGACATGATGGTCTGCATGTTGCCCTCCAAATATCCAGTATTATTGTTCTGATTTCATATTGCCTTACAAAATACGATTTCTTCACTCCTGATATCGAGACAGGGACCCAAGAATGACTGTGAACCAGTGAATAGCATGGGAAGAGAAAGTTGTAGTGGATTGAATACAAAAAAGGAAAATGGGCATAGAATCATAGAATCATTAAAGTTGGAAAAGACCTCAAGGATCATCAAGTCCAACCCAACACCACCTAACTCACTAAACCATGTCCTTAGGCACCACATCTACATGTTTCTTGAACACCTCCAGGGATGGTGACTCAACCACCTCCCTGGGTAGCCTGTTCCAATGTCTGACCACTCTTTCAGTGAAGAAATTTTTCCTAATATCTAGCCTAAACCTTCCCTGGTGTAACTTGAGGCCATTTCCTCTTGTCTTATCACTTGTTACTTTAGAGAAGAGGCCAGCACCCACCTCACTACACCCTCCTTTCAGGTAGTTGTAGAGAGTGATAAGGTCTCCTCTCAGCCTCCTCTATACCTGTGGCATAGCTGGTACCACAAAACAGATAAACACTAAACACAGTGGTGCAGTACTACACCAGTTCACTATACAGCATCTGGCCTGTAGGTGAGGTCTGAGCATAAACTGTCTCAAAGTAGATGCCAATCACGTAGAGCTGGTAAAGGAGTATGAATCTTAGAAGTTACATAGATTCAGCACATAACCCCATGAGCAGGGAGTGAAGATAAGAACACCCACTCAGATGAATGCCAAAGTCCACAAACCTCAGAGCTGTTGTTTCTGGCTGTATTTATCTCTGCAGGATGTTCCCATTCATTCCCTTGAATGAATGTACTTCTACAGACCTCTCTCTGCCTTGTCTGCTGCAGGTGGATGTAAGGGAATGTTTTGCTGCATATTAGACCTATGTCTGCTCTCCAGCTTCTTCCTATAATACAGCTAGTCAAGAAAGCACATTGCTCAAAGAACCAAGACGAGAAGTGAAGCCTAGAGCATATAATAACAGCAAAAGTAGAGCAGTTAGTAAATGAGTATACAAGACAAAAGAAATAGAGCTTGGAGAAATGTCTAACTGAGTTGGAACAATAGCATGGAATCTCAGACGACCCTACATTTATTACTCAGATGATATTTATTGTCAAC